AGTGTCTAAAGAGAGTCATAATGACCATTGAAATGCTTGGATTTAATTAAATAAATGGCTTTATTTAAGTAAAAACCAAGAAGAGAAATAATAAAGGTAACTCAGCATCTTACAGTGGATTGTAAAATGCCACAAAAATTCCAGAAAGAACATTGCCCAACTTGAAACTTTTGAAGTCAGTAGGAATCTTGTATAACCTTGTGCTCAGCTATTGCAGTTGTGAAACCCACACATGAAGAAAAGAGTGCAACAATACTTTAATCTCTTTTTCTTGTATCCCGAGTGTTCTAATATACATTTTTATTGTGTTTATAGTGTCTTTAGGCTATGCAGTGTTAGCAGTTGTCCACTGCCTTTTACTCCTCCTTCCTTTCTCATTTATGCATTATAAATCAGATATGCCACTTATTTCTCTTGACAATCTCAGTTTACAGTTGAGCTAGAGTACCTAGCTATAGCTAGTCATGGTTCTCAACTACTGCTTGTGTGTGAGGCCATATTTTACTTTTCATGGACTTCTTAAGGATGTTAGAACAGACCTTTGTCTAACTCCTTGTAACAGTCTTGACCAGCTACCCTGTAACCTCACTATGCATTTGTCATGTTTGCTAAGTCAATTAAAAACCTTTTTCAAATACCGTCTGCATTCCTTCACAGTGAAGCATATGTCTTTGTGATGCATTAAAGCATAGTTTGGGTAATGAAATTTTTAATCTGTGTGCATTTAGACAAACTTGATGACTGATAAGAGTAGAAAATGCTCAAAAAATTAAAGCTCATTGAGAACCTAAACATCCAGTCACTTGCATGTTGCTACCTCTTGCCTTATTGTTTAATTCTTTTGGATGCTATGATCCTCCTGAAATACACACAGAACATTGAAGTTCTGTGTGGTTTACATTTTAATAGAATAGATGTATAATGGCTGATTCTTAGCACCTTGATTGACAGAATCCTAGCATGCAGTGGGTGAAGTTTGATCCTTGGAACCATCTATCTGATTTGTATGAGCTACTTCTGCACTATATATGTAACTAGAGGTACAATAAATGTGCTATGTGATGACATACAGAGCTCATATTAATACCTTGATACTACATATGGAAGGAAAAGAAAGACCTTTTCTCTAATAACGTGTACAGACTGTTATGGATATTTTGTTATTTTTAACGGCATACACGTGCAGTAAAATGAAACCTAATATTGACATAGCTCTGAAGAAAATGAAAAGATTATTATTATAATTGCAAGTATTGACTAGTGTGCATTTAAGTAACTTGCAGATTACCTTCCTCTGAATTTTAATTCTATTTAGTTTATCTTCCTTTAGATTTATCAAGAAATTTCCTTCATCTCTTATCCTGTCTGTTTGCAAAATAGAAATACACCTAACTATATAAAATTTAAAACTTTTCCAGTAAACTTGACCAAGCATCTGCCAGAAGCTTCCGTGAGGTAGGACATATACATTATGGTTAGCCACAATGTTATCAAGCTATTTTTAATCAATACTTTTATTCTGAGTCACTGTTCCATTAGTGACTTGCGTGATACTAACCCAACTTTTTGCATCAAGGAGCCCGTGCAGACCTTAAAGTTTCAAACACCTTTCTGAACAACTAATAATCTGTTCAAAACAGGAATATTGGCTCTATGGAGACATGAAGTAGCATTATAAGTTTAAAATTATTAGAAAATAGCAAAAAACCCTCAAAAAACAAGGTAATCAGGCAAATCAAGAAAGATTAAAGATGTTAAATGTTCCCATTCCTAATCTCCCTCCTCACAAAGGTGTCCCAGCAGCACCTTCAGTGTGTTCAGTCACTGTGGTGGGAAATGTTTTCCTTACTTGCCTATCATGCCCTGATGCAATTTTAATTCTATGGTTATAGTCTGTCCCCTTAAAGCTAATATCTCAGATTCTTTTTTCTTCAGAAATATTAGGTCTGGGATATGAGCTTAAGCCATTTCCATATATTGGCAAGAAAGCCTGATATGAGCCAATGTTTCATCTTTGTAGCTTCAGTGTTTTGAATAGATGGAAACAAGAAGATAACTCTCATAGCAAACTGGGAATAAGCAAGGTTTGGGGTCTGAATGTTATTCATTATTAATTAAAGGGAACTTGAAACTGAGGGTATAACTGGTGAATGGCAGTGCCCATCCCTGGGTGCTGTACAGTCCCTTTGCTGCCTGGGTGGCAGTGTGATGCAGGGCTCTGCTTGGGTGACTCCCTGGGTTCATCATTGTTCTGCCGTTTGGTTATTTCACCCACAGATGCTCTAGATATGTTGTACAGTCAGAACTACACCCGCTACACCAAGAAGAAAATCAGAATTGTTAAACACTTTTTTTTTTCTTTTTTGAGACACTTCTCAATTTCCCAGAGCATTTGTTATTATTTTGGGGGAGGATGTATCTTTCGATGGTATTTCACAAAGATTGTTGTGTGATTGGGTAGCTATTAACCTAAACTCAGTTTATTTTTGTGTTTCAGTATCATTGTCTTGTAGTGTCCAAAATAACTAGGCTTCAGACTTCAGCTTTGAGCTTGCGTAGTAGGAGACATTCAGAACACTGTGATTAAGATTCATTTCATACTTGTCAATAGAAATCATAAGTGGTAGTCTTGCCCCTTTACAATGCATAGAAAATTATGGCATAAACCAGAAGATAAAAGTTATGTTACAGTTTAGGTAATTCTTGTGCTAGTTTTACAGGAATAAAAATAATCACCTGCATAGAATTAAAAACATTCAATTGCACTTTTATCTCTAAAACTGAAAAGCTTGAAGGATGTGCAGTTACTACTACATCTAAAATGTGCCTTTGTCTTTCAATGTTGAATTGGTTTAAATTTTCTGTCTCATTTTTTCTAGAGTTTTTCTGTAAATAGGATTTCTATTATGTATGTTGGGAAATAGTTGGTTTTCATGTAAAGTCCCTGTGTTTGGATTTGAGAATATTTACTGGTGGTGGTAGAAATGCTCATGCTTTGCTGAAAAATAGCAGCATTAGTCCTGTGCAATAATGTCACCATAGTACTTTGTCCAAGATAAAAGGAGAATTAATCATGTGTCCAACTTTTGCTTCGATTATTTTTCTTCAAAGGCTTTTATCAGATATTGCTAATGCATATGCTAGGTGAAAACAGTTAATGGTTCAACATATCTCAGCCTGAAAGTATTCTACAGGGTATGATGGATACACAAGACACTCGGAAGGAATGTCAGCTAGTTTATATCCGAGTTGATTCATAGCTGACTTTTTTTTTTTTTTTTTTTTGACAGAATCTTTTTTTGGTGTCACTTTACTTGGGCTAAAATCAATTTTGTATGGAAACTGTTTTGCAGTTTGTGTGGAATGAATGTGTGGTTTTGATTTGTTTCCTAATAAGATGGCCTTGCACAGTAACTGTGAAAACTGCCTTTACCTGATGCATTTTATGGTCCTTTTGTCAAGATTAAAGAGAAAAGAAAGGCAGATCCTCAAGCAACTGAACATGTGGAGTTTAGATTGCCAGTGAGAGATGAAGTGAATAAGTTTGATCCTCATGGTGTAGTGTCTGTTCTGTAAACAAACAAAAAATTCTCATCCACAGATATTTGTTTGGACATTTTCCCTGAAAGCTATTTTCATATATGAAAACCCAAAAAGTTTGAATGTATTTTGTAGCTTGGCAACCAGAAGATGTGCAGGCAGTCAGAGAAATGCTGATTCTATATTTCATTAACTTGTATGTCCTCTTTAATATAGAGGACACAGTTATGCTGTGTTGTATCTTTTATGGGGATATCAGGGTGCTGATTTTTACAACATGGAAAGAAGAAATAGAAGAGTCAGCAGGACAGGAACCTTTCTATGTTAGTAGCCAAAACAATAAAATCCGCCTTAGAATTACCACTTCCCAGAAGCAGTAATTCCAACAAAGACATAAAAGTACTCCTGAGCAGCTTATACATGAATAGAAAGAAATAATCACTGGTTGACATGTTACTAGCATTTTTTTTAATTTCGTCTGTTTCCTAAGTTTAGTCTAAATTTGGAACTGTTTAAAAACCACTTACAAGTGGTGTATACATTTATCCTATTATTCATTAATAGGATTAATGAGTGTACCTCCTGTATTAAGCTTTGAAAATGTACCTCCTAGGTCCCAAGCTTCCTTTTTTTGTGAATTGATCGTCAAGATAATCCACATATATGCAAAAAAAAATCTAAAATATTCATTCATCTATAACTTCAAACACAAATAGACAAATTAATATATTATGAAGATCAAAGTACTAGTGCATTATTAAAGTTGCAAACAGCTTTCTTAGCTCATAATGTTCTGGCTGCTGTTTTTTCCCTAAACTGAGCAGATACTGATGTGAAAGACAGACATTGTGTGTTTCACTTTAAAGATCCAAAGTTGTTTTGAGGGCAAATTCATTTTCAGAAGTATTTTGGCGTTCCTACAAGACTGAAGTTTTGCAAAGGCAGGTTTTTCTTTCTGTGTGAACCTAAAAATGTACTAGAATTGCTAAGAACAAAACTTAGCTATCAATTGAAAAGAAACACTAGATTTCCTAATGACGTCATACTTTTCTTGTATTTGAAGTCCACTTCATCAAATTCAGAGGCAAAATGCTTATGTCTGCCAGCAGTTTTCAAGCTGGGATGTAGTTCAAATGGTGAATTAGAGTTGTTTGCTTTGTTTTTGTTTTTTTTTTTTAAATTTATTTCTGCACTGACATTGTGCCAGATGTGTCATCTAGTTAGCTTGCCTGCTTTGCCTCTGAAGAAGTCACGTCTATGTAGTATTATTTTACATCCGCAGGATTGTTTGGGGTTTTTTTACTGGCATATTTTACTCTCCAGAGATTTAAATTTGTTTTGTGAAGTGTTTTTTACTCCTGGAGAAAAAATAAATTGACAGAAGCACAAAACATTTGCTACCTCTCTCTTAATGACTTTTCGCTTCAGTGTTTTAATTGTTCATCAAATGATTCTTCTCTGCAAAATTATGTTGTTACAGAAGACAGGCTGGCCATCTGCAAAGATAAATTCCAGAGGTCTTATATTGGCTTAATGAAAGTGTGAAAAAATATTTTAATTTTGCAATCAATAATACATTATTGATCTTTCCCTGAGCTTAACTCCTGATGTATTAGTAAAATCTAACATTATGTCTCTAATGCAATTCTAACAAAAAAATGGGGTTTGATCTACGCAAAATGTTTGTTATTCACTAATATGGCACTTAATATTAACTGATTAAATTCAAGAACAGAATAAATTTATCTTTGTGCATATTTTCTTGATGTCCTAGAACAGTCTTTTGGACACAAAATTAGCATGGTCTTAAGAAAATAAAGTTAGGGAATCAAAAACATTTTGCAAAATACCTTATTTCCAATAGGTGTATATTTTCAGAGACAAAAGTACAAAACTCCACAACTTCATATGGAAATCAGTGGGAGTTCAGACCTAGTTAGGCTTATACAATTTTAACCATTGTATTTCTGTGTCAAAATATGTAATGTATTTTTTTAATTTGGGTTTGCTCTGCATATGAAATATTATTGAGATGATTTTTATCATATATGTGAGTCTAAACCATTCTTATTTTATCAGTTCAGTGGATTAGTTTATGTCTTTTAGGACATGATTGAAACTAAGAGTTATCTACTTCTGTGCGTATCTTTTTGTGTGATTTTTGTCTTTTTGTTGTAACAGGCAAAACAAGCACAATACTCCTGGCTATAGAAATATATTTCAAGAAACTTGTAAAACAGAGAGTAATTAGATGACATGGTCTGTAGGAATGGAGGCAGAAGTGTAAGTGAACTTTAGATAGATGATACAGTCCAGACCTCTTCCATTCATGGTACATTTTCTCTACACAAACTTGCCAGAGCTAAACATACTTTGTGACCTTATAGAAGCCTGATATTTGCTTTTTTTTTAGTTCTAGCTCTTATTAAATGCATTCAGTTTTCTGTTAATAAGTGAAGAAAAAAGATTTGCAAAAAGGACAATAGAGGCATATATGGCTCTTTTGCTACTAAATCTAATAACTTTTTTTGTGTCAGTTGTGGGTTAACTCTGGTAGGCAGCTATTTATCCATTTCAAGGAAAGGAGGGAGTCATTGTGCATAACAGTTACCTGGGAAGACAAACACTGTTATTCAGACCATCCCTCCTTCCCCTTTCTTTCCCCCAGCTTTACTGATCAGCTTGATGTAATGTGGTGTGTGTGGGATATTCCGCTGCTCATTTGGGCTTAGCTCCCCCGGCTGTGTCCTCTCCCAATTCCTCGAGCACCCTCAGCCTACTCAGGGGTGGGGTGGTGTGAGAAACAGAGGTGGCCTGGATGCTGTCAACACTGTTCTGGCCACAAGTACAAAACACAGCACCATACAAACTGCTATGAAGAAAACTAGCTCTGTCCCAGCCAAAACCTTTTACAGTGTCTGAAAAGAAGGGAGAAAGTCAACAGGCAAAGAATCAATCCAATAAATAAAAAATAGGTGGCTGTAGTAGCCTGACCAGAAGAGAACAAAAGTTCGTGTCTGAGCTACCGAGAAGTTGTACCTTAACTATAAGTGCTTTGGCACAGTAAAGAAAGCAATAGAGTGGTCATTAGCAAGGTGCCTCATACATCCAGCAGTTATCATGGAGCAATATGCAAGCTTGACACTATGGAGGACTGGGTCTATATATGTTTCTTGCACACTTCTGCATTTCTCCTGTAACACGACAGCATTCAGTGCTCGTTTTTGTATGGGTGGATATCAGTGTCATTTAAACTTGTATAAGTAAAACAAGGAAAAGCTGTTTCTTTCTATGAGATATGATGCTTGAGTAAAGCGAAATTTCACCTCTTTGCTTTGCGGTGGAGGCACCACCGTCATGTTTAGCTGAAGATCAGTGCAGTTTGTTTTTGTCTGCCTAGCAAACTGAAGAGCAATTTCATGCCAGACCCGCCGCCCTCTACAGAGGGCTAACCCCTGCATACACATACATAATTAACTGTAATTTTAGTATGGCTCCTCAGGTTGCCATCATGAAAATGGTATTGGGTTTGTTCTTTAATACATTGATTGCAATAGATTATTCAGTAGCAGAGGGACCAGGCACAGCTGAGCAGTATTGCCATGCTCATGGCATCAGGGCTGCTGTTCTTAACTTTGAGAAAGTAAAGTATGTCCTACTGATAAAGCTGAACTTGATGATGCAGAAGGTGGGGAGAAAAGAAAAAGGCATGTCCCTCTGATGATTGATAGATTCTATTTATTTGCGTGTCTTTGAAAGGGCTATGTAAACCCATTGTCAACATTTCCCATGTTTTCTTTGAATTAATGCAGATATTTGGTTTGTTTGTGTCTCCCACCTTGAGGATTCTCCTCTTTTTCTTTGCCATGTTCCTCAAGTCATCATTCACACAATTGGCTTCATGTAATCCCTGTTCTATTCTTGCCTTCAAGATGCCATTCAGTTTGAGTTTGAACAGGGAATTTTGCTTTTGGTTAGGTAAGCTAAGGTTTTTTCAGTTTGTTTCCTTCTTGCCACCCTCCCGCTCCAAAGTTTCTATGTTTTTGAAGTCAGCCTTCTGGAAGAATATGAAACACCACGACAATAATAATTTTGTGTTAATGAATATGTTATTTTTTCAGTGAATTAATATTCTGAAGTGAAGTTTTCAGGTAACTAAATATAAAAAGATACCAAAAACTGCAACAGGCCCTGCTATTTTGATGTTAAGTTCCATTTATTTGACACTACCCCTTCAGCTTTCAGCATTATGCAGATTTTCTGCATTAACAGTAAAATCTAAAAATCAAGAATGAATGAAAAGCATGTTCTGATCAGTTAACCATGGAAAAATAAAATCCTGTAGTTCAGCACCTGTCTACAAACCAAAAGTAATTGAATAAATTTTCAAGTTGTGGTCTCATAGTCTTGAGTAGCTGGAAATTAAATAATTGCTGCTGTAACTACTTAAATGCATTCTCTGTGATCTAACTGCTTTTTCTTTAAACGATTATCTGTGTTTCTCATTTAGAATTCCCAGCGCATCCACTTAGACTTCCTTACACAATTCATTTTGCCCTCGCTTTAGGATACACCAAAGCAATAGTGCTGTTGTGCTCTGAATCGGGAAGTTAAGACTAAGAATGTGTAATTTATTTGAAACTCAGGTAAATGCTATTTAGGTTAACATCCAGCTGCTGTGAAATAGGCCTCTGAAGGCACAGACTAGGACTGCTCTAGGCTGCAAGTGCTGCCTCCTGTGCCATTGAGGGTTCCCTGTATTTGTGCAAATATTCTGCACGTCAGGGTAGCAGTATATAGCAAACAGGGAGTGTGGGCACCGGGTTGTATATTCAACCCTAGGCTGTGCTTTTTTGCACACTGCTAAATAGTCAGTTGCTTTGGTCATAGAAAATGTATATGCCAAGACTGAAGGGATATAAAATGGTCCCTTTTAAGGTGAAGGGTTAACACTTAATGGCTGCTACTTGGCTGGCAGAACGTTGTATGTAAATTAATGCATTTTGCCTTTTTCTGTAGGCAGGTGGTAGGTTGAGGCAAACCTAAAGATATTTCCTCCCATTATGATTTTGTAAAGCAGCATAGCAAATTGTCAGTTTGTACACTGTTCTAATGGGACACATTTTTTGACTGCTGGGTTGCTGTGTGGTGCTAAAACTATGTGAATTATAGCTCAGTGCTGTATCCTGGTGAATTTATGTTTACAAGTGTCTGCAATCATACAGATCAGATTCCTGAGTGACTCTGCTTGTGAAGGATAATAATTTCAGGCTTCTTAATCTCCCTTCCTTTAGTGCAGATGCCTAAAAATAAAGAACACAGTTGTGTTTAACTTTGTGAAATCCAGCATGTAACTTTTAATTTTGGTGACTTCAGTGGCTCCATCCAGCCACCTCTTCCTCCCCTTTCTCAAGGAAAATAACTTTCCTGACCCAGGTCCATTTCAGTCCCTCTAATGATGCTCTCCAGCTCTGAGTGGCTGAAGTGCCTTCTGTTTTGTCCTTTGCAGCCTCCTTTTGCCAGTATATAAAGACGTTTCTATTTGCTCTAAGAGACTGCTTGATATGCACTTCTGCAGTAAGTCTGTGAAATATTACTGTCCAAAACCAGCAGCTGAGGTACCCTTTGAAACTGAGGAGCCCTAACACCCACCTTGGTGGATTGACTCAGCATATCAATTTGAAATTTCGACCTCACTGCTGACCCCTATATTATATCAGTGTTGGGGTTTGAAATATAGCCTTGGATCATGCTTGTTTCTAAAGTTAACTTTATTCTCCTACTTCTGTTATAAATATATGTTAAAAGAAAACATATCAAGTTCCTGGAAAGGAATGGTTTAGGTTACTAAGCACTTCCCAAGCCTCTGATTTTTTGATTATGAAAAAGAAAGCAATATAAGCAGCAGCTGACTTGCTGATCTCTGTCTTCACTTAAAAGTCAGAGCTCAGGCATTAATTTACAGGACTGAATACTTTTTTCACTAGGGTCTTTACAGTTCTGTCTTTCACAGTTGATATTGATACTTTGCAGGGCAGGAAATATTACTAGTGAACGAATGCATCAACGCTGATTCTGCTTTGATGGAAGTTTAGTGGAAGTTTAACTATTGCTTGTAGAAGGAGGAAGATTATACCAAAAAGATTTATGTGTTAAGTATGTATCTGTATGATACAGATTTACTGACACCATTTTGAGTATACTTTAAAAGACTGTCCCTTATTTCCCAGGGCATTGTCTTGTTTTTAGTCTCTCCATAATTAGTTTCTATTTATGGAGCAGACCAAGGTAAGTAGCTAGCAGATGTCTGAAAGATACATGTTTTCGCATGTAAGAGTTTTTGTCCTTTAGCTTTATGCAAATATTAATGTTTTTTAAAGGACTACAGGAGGCATATAGACTTATTTTTTTCTTTATGATTAATAGCAGTCATTTGTTTTTTGCTTTCGTTTGGAAGTGCTTCAAACTCAGCCACAGAAAGGAAAAATGGGCTTATATGAAGATTAAAAGAATTGTAAGCCTCATTTTTTTAGTCACGTCACAATAATGGGTCTGTAATATGAAAGTTCTATCTTACAAAAGTGCTATTATCAGGGCTTATTTCCATTTTTCATCTTGGAAAATATTTTATTTCCAACTTAAGTTCTCACTACATATTTCTAAGTTCCCTTATATTATAAACACTTCTGTGTCTCAAGAGAGATAGCTTTTGACTAAATAAAATTCTTTCAGGTAGTTATGCTACTGAAATTTTAATAAAATAATATGTTGAATTAAAAAAAAAGAAGTGATAAGTATTACTATTATTATCACCCTAATAACAAAGTTGGGTGTTTAAATGCATGTTCCTGTGAACTGTATGCTGTATGCTAGTATTCTTAAATATTCTATTCTGTATAAATTCAGTATCAGTTAAAAGATCTTTGTAGCACAAATAAAAAGTAACTATTCCCTTTTAATGTGATGCTAATAATGAAGTGGTAAATGCATAAACCAAAGGCATGTAGGTATTCTAGATATCATTAGTGTAGAAATTAAAGGCACCATGAACACTGACAAACTTATATTTAAAGTGTGAACCCTTTTATGGAGCAATAGAAACCTCCCATTCTTGACCTTTGAATGACCTCACTTACCACACTGCCTTAAAGATTAGATAATAGCGGAAATATCCTTTGTTTATAGTATCCCATAGAACACATAGAAATATCCTTTGTTTATAGTGGCTTTTGTATTTGTGCTATGCAAAATTTCTCAAAAAGTTATTTTCAGCCTTTATATTGTATCTTCCATTTTGGATTGTAAGAGAGGAGGGCTTTCTTAGGTTTTCTTTTCCTGTTAAACACTTACATTTAGTGTAAAGACTCAAATCCAAATCTTTAATCATTAACAGGCCAAAGAACTGTTGAAGAATAAAAAAAGTCAGTCAACACAGTTTAATGAAGGCTATATAATCCAATTAAATCATATGATTGCGTGCACTTATACTATTGTATTAGCTATAAAGATCTAAGCCAGTCTATAAATCACACAGTTATGTAGGTACTTACCATTTTAAGAGCAGCATCAAGTGGAATTGGTGGAAAATCCCCAAGGCGTACTCAATAATTGATTAAAATGGTGAGCCGTTACGGTATTATTTTGAAATGCATCATCTGAAATCAGAAGGAATTTACTGACAGTTTTATATTTTGTTGAAGGAAAGATTGCTCAGACATATATTAACCAAAAAATCTGTGTCTGTTGCCTTCTACAGAGTATAAGGAGAGTGATTCATTTTGAAATGTCTTTCAGCTGGGTAACTAGGTAACTTACACTGTGCTGCATGAAAGAGCTTGGATTTCATTTTGTGAAGCTGGATTCCAGTGCAATGAGTGAAGAAAACAGATGGAATAAGAGGAGGACAGATGGGTATAAAAAAAATTACAGCCACTGTTTTCAGTACCTGTGCATTAACTGTTGTAAATCAATTTATTTTCATTTACTGAAACAGGAAAATAAAGATTATTAAGCCAAAGCGTTTCAAACCACTCTATGTTGAAAGCATCTGTTTTTAGCAGTTAGTAAGAGTTCTAGATGAGTGACATCTGAGAACAAAGTTTTCTGTGGGCAAGAACATTATCTCAGGTCTAGTCATTTCGTTCTGTTAGGGAGATTTAAATCTCTCTCTTTCGGTGGGGGGAAGGTTAGTTGGTTAGCAGTTGCTGTGTTGGACAGCTGTAAAATTTTCCTTGTAGACAAGAGCTGGGCTGAAGAGAGGTAGCGAGTGCTAAGGGGCTGCTCTACCATGAAGGCTTCAAGCAGCCTGGGAAGGAGCTGAACCTGTAGAACTCAAAGTAAAGGCTGTGAGTGCAGGAGGCCACTTTCTCTCTCCTGCAGCAGCTTTGAATTGCAAGACATGAATGGTGGGATAGAAAATCAAAACAGTATTGCTATATATATACACACCAGTAGTCCTCATTTGCTGCATGGCACAGCTGCTCTGTCACATACTTGACCTTGACTTAATTTGATCATCCCTGTGGTTAAATAGGAAGTTCAACTGTGAGCCAAATAATTTCTTACTACCCCTCACCCCACCAGTTCCTGCTAGCTTGTTGCTGATATTGTTGAATTTTTATATGAGCCCCTGTCCATTAGAAATTGGATGGTGTTCATCAAGACAATTTACACTCATTTTAGAATGTCTTGCAATCACTGGACTTGCAAAATTGTAGAATGCAAATAGAAATAACCCTTGTATTAAGAATATTTGAGCAATGAAGAAACACAGGTTGGAATATGTAATTGCTCTTTTTCTTGTGGAATTTATATCAGGAAATTTTATGCCTAGAGGTACTGCATGAATTGCCACTGTATTTTGGTGCAGCAAAGGCAAAAGTATGAAAAGGTCTGTAACTTGAGTACCTTGGAATTGATTTTTTTGTTAGATTTTATCACAGTTCCTTTAAAATTTTTCTATGAATAGTTTGAATTAAAAAATCCACAGTTTTCTCGATTTTCTTTTTTTTTTTTCTGAATAGTTTTCTAATTAAAAAAAATTTAGGGGTTAGACTGACTACTTTTGTAATAAATCAAATATGGTGTTATGTTGTCATATGTAAAAAGATTGGTTAGACTTTATCTCTCAATCTATTAAATGCAATTTAGAGCACAATGTGGCAAACACAAGTTTTTACCTTTGTTAGGTGTTTGGAGATTACCTCCCCAATACTGTCTCATTCAAGGTGAGCATTGTAGTGCTGGCTATTGTCAGTGCTAGAGGCTGGGTTACAGTCTTCAGCCATCAACAAATCCTGTTCAAAATGCATCATCTTCTCCTCCTACCTTTAAGGAAATCTCTGTTGGATGGGGATGTAGCCCATAAATCAGGCAAATAGTTGAGGAGGGGTGTGACGGGATAAATAGGAAGCAAAATGGTTTGCCTTGGTTTCATAACTGAAGTGGAAGAGATCTCATTGATCATTGTCCTTCAACTGGGAAATATTGGCAGTCTGAATCCATCTGCAGAATGACTCTATTTATGCAGATGCAAATATACTAGTTTTTAATTACAATTTTTGAGTTGTAGAAACATAAACACAGTTGTCATTATTTGTTTTCACTGGGGCTTCTTACGAAATTCTGTCTGCCCACAGTAACTGAGCTGCTTCTGCTCCCCCACCAATCACTCCTTTTCCAGTCTGAGTTTGGAATAAAAGAAATGTGAAGTAGTTCCTTTAAGCAGGTAGGAGATAAACTGTAAACTACACAGCATTCTTAAGCCATTGATCTGAAAGAGACCATTTAAAATCTTGAACAAGGTCAAAAGAGTGAGAAACTATTTCTGTTTTTTATAGTTTAAAGTAATTAAGGTAATGGAAAGTAATTATAACTTAATAATTTTAAAAGCATAGAATTGATTTAGAAATTAAACTGAGATTGGAATTTACTACTTGCTGCTATAATTCTTTGGAAAACAAACAACCTTGCAACACACAAAGTAGTGACTCTTAAATCCCTATTAAATGTAATAGTCACTAATAAGTCTGCCCTAGTAGATGACCCTTCAGCCCATTGAAATCTTGCAGCATGTAGTGTCAGGAGCATCTTGGATACTAGTAGGGAAGAGCAGTCTAACTATATGTTAGACTCGAAGAGACCAGGGAAAGGGAAAAGGCCATGCTGCTGTCAATACTTCTCAGCAGTAAGTTTAAGTGATGTGCAATTTCATTTATATATTTGATTTGTATTCAGCGCAGGCTGAGATTGCCCTTTCTCAAACTGTCTGATCGTTTTTAATTCCTTGGAGGAATGCTTTTAGAAAAGACAGCAATCCTGTATGACGCTCTTGCTGATGACTAAATTTGGGGCTTCTTGCCCCTGATGCGTAGAGACAAATTATGTGTATGCACTGCAGAGAAGAGGGCTCTTGGTTAAAGATATTCTGGCAGTCCTCAGCTGTTACACGCTGAAGGCTGGTTACTCAAGGACTGAGGCTAATCTAAGTTGCAGCAAAGAGGAAAAACTCTCTAAAGTAGTCGAAGCTCAAGTGCTTGGTCTTGTTTTTACCCACTACAAAAGCTGGTATGCTAGTTTAAGTGTTTCCTTGAGCTGTCATCCCTGTGGGTCTGGTTATACTGTTCTTAGAGTGGGAGTCCATAGGCATTAGCTTATTAGGGTAACGTAAGATGACTGTGAAAGAGCTGGGGGGCATACATGTCAAAAGAAAGGTCATGATCTTCTTAAAAGTACAAATGGGAATAAATGCCCAGTGTATTTGCTGCTTTTGAAGCATCTGTCAAGAGCTGAGTGTCCAGCAAGATTCCCATATAGGAAATTACTCTTTGGTAAGAGTTGTTTCGTCCTGTATTTTTGTCAGACATCCGATCATTTACAAATGAGTTGAGCATCATCTAATCTGCCAGTGGAAACAAATGAATTCTGTTCTCCATGTATATGCAATATATATGAATTAGTCTAATGGACTAGTTAGTAAGTTCAACCAAACAGCAGATTCCGTTCTGTATATAAAATTAGAATCTTACACTTAAACTGTCAGTATCAAATTTTCATATAATGAAAAACCTTTCAAATAAATTACTTCAGTCTGGTTCTGCTTTGCTATCTCACTGTTAAGTAGTAGATTAAAAATAAGACTTAAATCTCAGTGTATTTGGTGGTTGTTAATACTATTTCTGTTGTATCTTTGGGATTCTTGCTTACTGCTCTTACTTACTTATTCCAGAATACTTTAAAAAATAAAAAGGCCCCTGGCAAGCACTTTTTCTCCTGACACTGGTTCTTCTTGTTGAAATTATTGGAATTGCAACCTCTTCTGTGTGAGGGGAAAGATGGAGGTATAAAGGCTTGAGGCAAGTTTTAAAATTTTCAAGCCACAGCTAAAGCCAGTTTAGATCACTTGGCATGGGCTTGACTGAACACAGGGACAAGCTGAGAGGAGGTGGTTTGGACGTACAATGAAAAATAAACACAGAATATGATGAAGAAAAGTGTAAATTAAGATATAAAGAAACTTAGACTGTAGAGAGAACAGTGATTATTATATATAGCATAGCAAAAAACAAAGGAACACGAAGCAAAAAAATCTCCAAAAATCAGAGACAGTGCAAGTGTAAAAGGATTGGGACTAAAAAGAGGAAGGTTTTCTGAAGAAAACACCTGTCTGACATCTTTTGTTCCAGACTGATTCTGTAATCCTCCACACCTTTTTTTGTTCAGTGTTTTGTTGGTTTTTTTTTTGTTTTGTTTTGTTTTTTTTAATTTCTCAATAAATAGTCACATAAAAATTGTAGTGATTAATCAGGAAACATGGAATGTCAAGTGTTTTGGGTGAAGAGGGAAAAGTAGGTGCAGTATCCAAAATGATTTCAAGAACATTGAAGAAGAAATAGGATGGGGAGGGAGTCTGAGGATACTTTTTTTAATGTTTAGCTCTAACAATCAAGTGTTAATAATTTTGAATGGTAGAAACAAGAGTCAAAGCACCTTCTTGTCTGTATATGGTTATTATAGGATCACCTGTGAACGAGATAAGTTTTAAAATATCCAATTCTGAATTTCTGACAATACTTTCTTCTCCCTCTTGACAACCATATTAGCAGTATAATAGGTTATGTTGTTTTTCCTTTTAAAATTTCTATATATATAAACTCTCTTACAAGTACAAAATACTGGGTACATACACAAATAAGAAGATGTTAAGGAGACAAGCTTATGTGAGGAAGCTGATATTCTGATGATGAATGTTCTGCAGAATGGCTATCATGATATATCCTCCTACTTAGTAATAGGAGAGGGATGTATAACTAAATAACTCATCAGAACGATGAAGATCATGTTTAAGGCACATTCATTTTCCACATCCCTTTTTTTCCCCCCAGACATCCAGCTTGCTAAAGAGTTTATTTCTGCAAAGGGTGATGTCTGGCGTATGACTGGTTTTATGCCAGCTGACTTTCACAGATGACCTTGTTTGTATGACCTTATTCCTTTGACTCCATCCAAAAGGAAAGGTGCAGGATCATACGCCATTGTATGCCCTCGCATTGGGAAGTAGGCCAAGGCTTGATTTTTGCCATGCATTTAATCAAGCAGAGTAGCTGAGTAAGCTTCAGCACTATTATTTTTAAGCAAACAGAAAACAGTTATGACTACTATCATAATTACTGTACTTCAAGCTAATGACTGATGAACTATTGATGAAGAACTAGAAACCACTGGCTGTGCCTAAACTTATACTTTTTAGAATTAATTGTGGT